TCTATTGGCTGGCTGTGTTTAAATCCCTGCCTCTATTGGCTGGCTGTGTTTAAATCCCTGCCTCTATTGGCTGGCTGTGTTTAAATCCCTGCCTCTATTGGCTGGCTGTGTTTCAATCCCTGCCTCTATTGGCTGGCTGTGTTTCAACAGGCTTGCTCGAATCCAGACCAGACAGACCCAAGGCTACACTAGCCAGGTGCTAGTTGCCATAGAGTTCCTAGGTTACTCCCCTTCAGTGTGCAGCACAAGAGAAATGTGTCGAGAACACAGAGAGGTGTTAATTACAGCCCTGTTCCAGACAGACAGTGTAATGACCAGTGAGAGTGTGTGTGTGTGTGTGTGTGTGTGTGTGTGTGTTTAGCAGAGACACTGAGTGAACCTAAGAAGGACCCCTAACATGGTTGGTTCCTGCTCTCTCTGTCTCCTGGTTATTAAAAGCTAAATATAGAGAAGTGTCTTATTAAAATGAGTGTCAGCAGCTTAAGCCCGGAAGAGAATTCACCTTTCAGGTGGTAAGGAGGCTCTGCCTGGACTACGGCAGCTTCGACAATAAGTTAAAAAGTGCCAGAGGCCAATTTTGTGTTCTTACACCAATTTCACAAAACAACTAGAGATCAGTGGTAAAAAAAACTTCTTAGCACCAACGTGCTGAACAGACACCCTCTTGTGCTTCCTGTAGAAACAGGAAAGGCTGCATGCGTGTGTGTGTGTGTGTGTGTGACAGAAAGGGCTGCACTGCGTGCCTCCTACCACGCCACAAGGTGGCACTATGCAAGACTCCCTCCTGCGACAAACACGAGCACAGAATGCAGGAACCGCAACGGAAAACTGGGTGTGAGATGAGCAAAGACGGATTCTGGGTGGGATACACACTGAACCCCAGGATGTGGAAGACAAGGTTCAGAGAAGAGCCTCCTGTGAGAAGACCAGATGTTCATCATGCACTCTTCTCAACATGAAGAGTGNCACAAGGTGGCACTATGCAAGACTCCCTCCTGCGACAAACACGAGCACAGAATGCAGGAACCGCAACGGAAAACTGGGTGTGAGATGAGCAAAGAGGAATGTTGGCTGGAAGTACCACTGAACCCCAGGATGTGGAAGACAAGGTTCAGAGAAGAGCCTCCTGTGAGAAGACCAGATGTTCATCATGCACTCTTCTCAACATGAAGAGTGTAGTTTAAAAAATAAATCATTTCTACTGTTAAGACGCAAATAAAACTCCAGACATCATGCAAATCGTTTCCCCCACTCTACCACCTACACAGAGGTAGACACACTCTCTCTCTGTCACTCCCTCACACACACACACACACACACACACACACACACACTCCAGAGCAGCGACTCTGAGACATGGGCTTATTCTTTCGCCTGGTCCCTCCATTCCCACCCAGGGCAGGAAAGTCCAGTCAGTGTGGAAGCAGAATCGGATTCTGATTTGGGGAAGCTCTGAGTGGAGGAGCCGGCAGAGAGCTTACGGAGTTCAGAGAGACCATGGCGCTGACGTTCTCCTCCCAGCCCTCCCACCACCGCAGTCCCCCTCACTGCGACTTGTCCTCCGAATCCGACGGGTGATGCTCCCGTGGAAGCGTCAGGCTCCGGTGCCGGTCCCATAGCTTGTGCAGTTCCGTGGCCTCGGTCTCGCTGCTGCTGGTACCGCTGTCCCGGAAACTGGCCAGTGGGGGGCGCACCTTCACCCCCTTCACGGTCACCGAGCCCTCGATGGCTTTCCGTAGCTGTGGACAGAGGTGAAGCAGGGGTGAGTGGGGTGACGAGGAGGCCTGGCAGGCCGGTGGAGCAGTGGCTAGCGGGGGCCGTCTGATGCTGTTTATTAATCCAGTTGCTGACGGCGACAGATTAAACTCAGATCTGAGGAACAGTCACTGTGGGACTCTAAGGGAAGCTACAAATCACTGTTCTGCAGAAGACCAGTCACGTAATCCTCAAAGATAAAGGCTCTCACATCGCCCTTCAACCGTGAGCTTGTGTCAAGCCGTCCCCTCTAACAGGATGATGCCCAGTCCCACTCCAACCCAAAACACCACATCTCCCCAAGACGGACCCGTGGGCCATTAATGTGGAGAAGATGGTGCTCTCCTGGCCTGCTGGCACGTACGCCAGCCA